GTTCTATGAACTTCAACTCCCAGAATTCCCCAGGCAATATTTGTGGATGTGAAATCCTAGAATTTCCTAGTCAGTTCTATGGACTTCAACTCCCAGAATTCCCCATCCAGCATCTGTGCACTTCCATTCCCAGAAATCCACACACCTTGACAGTAACAACTGAGGTCTGCAACAAAATGTTGTCTTAATACATCAGTGCTTCTCACTGGTGTGGGGGTGGACATCTTTCTTTGACAGGCCAACTTCGTGCCATCAGTTTTATTTTCTTTTTCTATTCTATTGTCAATCTTTTGTGGTTTGTGGGCTGGTTGTGTGTGCCTTTGCTGGCCTATATAAGATGGTTCGGTCTATTTTTTTGAGGGAGGGGGATATTTCCAGGTATTCCTTGACTTACAACCATTCATTTAGTGACCGCTCAAAGTTACAACAACATGGAAGAGTGACGTATGACAGATCCTTAACACGTACAAACCAGTGGTGGGAATCAAATTTTTTTTACTACTACTTCTGTGGGCGTGGCTTGGTGGGCGTGGCGTGGCGTGGGAAGGATATACTGCAAAATCTCCATTCCCTCCCCACCCCGCTAACCTGCTTTCCAGCTCCGTTCTCCTTTGCAGGGCAACCAAAGAAGACCCAGCCGATCAGCTGGGACTCAATGGGAGGCAGATAATAGATGCGGGTGAGGCCAGTCAGAGGTGGGATTGGCCGGTTCTCCAAACTACTCAAAATTTCCACTATATCAATTCATAAAATATTTCTATGGTCTATTTAGAGTTGCCAACAGAAAGGGAGGGGGGGAAAGGGGTTTGAAAGAGCAGTGCGGCAGCTTGGAAATCGAAAGTGCATTCCATAAATAGTTTTTCAAAGATAGTAACTAGGTGACTGAAGTTCCTGCCGCCGCAAATATCTGACTGGAGAACATGATTGATGACTGTTGGCTGTGGATGTGCCCCATTGGAGAATATGAATTACAATACACCGGGGGAAACCAGGGTCAAAGGTGACAAAGAATTATATGTGTCTCAGAGTTGGCTACACCCAGGCAGTGCCGGACATATTAACTCCCAATAAATCCTTTGGAAGTTTTGGAAGTTTGGCTCGAGACTCATGATTTAAATGGGGGGGTAACTGCCGGAATCCTGACATGCTACTGGTTCCTCAGAACTGGTCAGAACCTGTTGAATACCACCTCTGCCACCCAGTCACATGACCACCACGCCACCCAGCTGGTCATTTGGCAGATCATATTAGTGGTCCACGGGATTTAAAATTATGAATTTAGTGGTCCCTGAGAGCTGAAAGGTTGGTGAGCCCTTTGCGCTGTAAGGCTCTGGGGATTTCAAATGAAAACAGCCTTACTTGTGGTTAAAAGGATCAACTGGCGAACTTGAACCAGAAAGGCCCAAGGGAACTGTGAATAAACAGAGTTCAATCAGAGGGCCAGGCATATGAATGTCAAGGTAGTCCTTGACTGACGTCCACAACCGAGCCCAAAATTTCTGACGCTAAGCGAGATGGTTGTTAAGCAAGTTTTGGCCCATTTGAAGACCTTTCTGGCCAGAGTTGTTAAGTGAGCCGCTTCGGTTGTTAAGATAGTAAGATGGTTGTTAAGTGGATCTGGCTTCCCCATAGAATTTACCTGTCAGAAGATGGCAAAAAGAGACCCTAGGACTCTGCAACTGTCATAAATGCAGGCCAGTTTTCCAGCTTCTGAATTTTGATTATGTGATGATGGGGATGCTGCAATGGTTGTAAGTGGAAGAATGGAATATGGAACATGGAACAGAATAGAATGGAATGGAATGGAGTATGGAATAGGATAGGATAGCGTAGAATGGAATGGAATATGGAATAGAAGAAGGAAGAAGGAAATAATAGAATAGAATAGAATAGAATAGAATAGAATAGAATAGAATAGAATAGAATAGAATAGAATAGAATAGAATATATGGAATGGAATAGAATATGGAATATGGAATAGAATAAGCAATAAGGAAAGAATAGAATAGAATAGAATAGAATAGAATAGAATAGAATAGAATAGAATAGAATAGAATAGAATAGAACAGGGAATAAGGAATAAGGAATAAGGAAATAATAGAATAGAACAGAACAGAACAGAACAGGGAATACGAAATAAGGAATAAGGAAAGAATAGAATAGAATAGAATAGGGAATAAGGAATAAGGAAAGAATAGAATAGAATAGAATATAGAATAGAATAGAATAGAATAGAATAGAATAGAATAGAATAGAATAGAATAGAATTCTTTATTGGCCAATTGTAATTGGACATACATGGAATTTGTCCCTGGTGCTGAAGTGTACTCAGATGGAGTCAGATGCTTGGATCATAAATCGTACTTAATTGGTCATAAATCACATTTTTCAGTGCCATTCTAACTTTGAACTGTTACTTTGAACTGTTCTAACTTTGAACTGTCACTAAACAAATGTTGTAAATCGAGAACCACCTGTAAACTGTCTCAGTTGAAAAAGGGTTAATCCTCCTGATGTTTGTTAAGGTGGTCATTTACAGCGTAGGAGGTGAGTAGATTCTCCTGGGCTGGATAGAGAGAGGGATTAAACCCAGGGCCCTAGACTCGCTTCCAAGGTTCAGTCAATCAGAATAGAGCTGGAAGGGGCTTTGGAGGTCCTGTAGTCCAACCCTCTGCTTAAGTAGGAAGCCCCTTTCAGACAAGTAATGGTTCAGTCCTGTGGTGGGATTCAAATTTTTTTACTACCGCTTCTGTGGGCGTGGCTTGGTAGACGTGGTTTAGTGGCCATAGCAGGGGAAGGATATTATAAAATCTCCATTCCCACCCCATTCCTGGGGGAAGGTTATTGCAAAATCCCATTCCCTCCCTACATCACTAACCTGCTTTCCAGCTCTGTTCTCCTGTGCAGGGCAACCAAAGAAGACCCAGCCGGCAGAGAATAGATGGGGGCAGGGCCAGACAGAGGTGGTATTTGCTGGTTCTCCGAACTACTCCAAATTTCCACTAACGGTTCTCCAGAACTGGTCAGAACCTGCTGAACACCATCTCTGGTCCAGTCTCTTCTTAAAATCTCCAGTGATGAAGCACCCACAAATCCTGGTGGCAAGTAGTTCCACTGGTTAATTGTTCTCTCAGTCAGGAAATTCCTCCTTAGTTCTAGGTTGCTTCTCTCCTTGATTTGTTTCCATCCGTTGTTTCTTTGTCCTGACTTCAGGTGCTTTGGAGAATAGCTTGACCCCCTCTTCTTTGGGGCAGCCCCTCAAATATTGGAAGGCTGCTATCATGTCTCCCCTAGTCCTTCTTTTCATTAAGCTAGACATACCCATTTCCTGCAACCGTTCTTCATATGTTTTAGTCTCCAGGCCTTTAATCATCTTAGTTGTTCTTCTTTGCACTTTTTCCAACATCTTTTTTGTCATGTGGTGACCAAAACTGGATGCAGAATTCCAGGTGTGGCCTTACTAAGGTTTTATAAAGCCAGTACTAATAACTTCATGTGATTCCTCCATGTTTATGACATGGTGCTTATGACGTGGTGCTTATGACGTGGTGTGTGACGTACAGTCCTTGACTTAACAACCATTCATTTAACGACCGTTCAAAGTTACAACAGCACGGAAAAAAGGGACTAGCGGCCAGTCCTCACACTTATGACCATTGCAACATCCTCACAGTGTTGTGGTCAAAATTTGGATGCTTGGTAGCTGGCCTACATTTACCGCTGTCTTCAGCATCCCAGGTTCAGATATGTCCTTTTTTTCTTTTTTGGTAGTGTGGTGACCCAAACAGGCTGCAGAATTCCAGGTGGGGGGGTCTTACGAAGTGGTTAAATCAGAGGTGATATTCAGCAGGTTCCGACCAGTTCTGGAGAACCAGTAGCGGACATTTTGAGTAGTTTTGGAGAACCGGCAAATCCCATCTCTGACTGGCCCCGCCTCCATCTCTTTTCTGTCTCCCATTGAGTCTCAGTTGATCAGCTGGGTCTCCTTTGGTTGCCCTGCACAGGAGAACAGAACTGGAAAGCAGGTTAGTGGGGTGGGGAGGGAATGGAGATTTTGTAGTATCCTCCCCACGCCACGCCCACCAAGCCACGCCCACAGAACCAGTAGTAAAAAAAATTAAATCCCACCACTGGGTTAAATGCCTTCTGCGCACAGACGAGACGACGCGTTTGATGTTCCTTCTGCTTCCGTTTCAGGGTGCGCTTTCCTGACCTACTGCGCCCGAGACTCCGCTATCAAAGCTCAGACTGCCTTGCACGAACAGAAGACGCTTCCAGGGGTAAGTGTGGGAATCCGTCCATTTTGCAGAGCGGGGACCCATTCATCTCAGAACAATTTCGGTTTTGCGTCATGTGTCCAAAATGTGGTGAGAAAAACAGATGAATATTCCTGGGATTCCTTTTTTTCCGCTCCATTGTCGTTAGCCCTGCGAGGTTGTCCAGACAAATTTCACATCAAGGTCCTTTTACATTTCTTTTATTTGAAATAGGAGGCCAAGAGCCCTCTCAAAATATCTGGTTTTTCAGTGTTCAAACCTTCGCTGATAAATTCCATTTTTACAAGCACCCCGAATTTTAGTTCAGTTTGAATGGCAGAGCTTAGAAGAAATTTTGTTCATGTTTGGTTTTTTTCCAATTTATTTATCTGTCTGTCTGTCTGTCTGTCCATCTATTTATTTATTCCCCACTCACAGGTAAATATAATGCAGGTGGTCCTCAAGTTACGGCCACAATGGAGCCCAAAATTTCCATTGCTAATCAAGTGAGTTTTGTGAGTTTTGTCCCATTTTACGACCTTTCTTGCCACAGTCGTTAAGTGAATTGTTGCAGAAAAATCTGGTTTTTCGGTGTCCAAACCTTCGCCAATGAACTCCAGCACCCCAAATTTTAGTTCAGTTTCAACAGCAGACCTTAGAAGAAATGTTGTTCATGTTTATTCATGTATTCATGTATTCATTCATTCATTCATTCATTCATTCACAGGTAAATATAATACAGTTAGTCCTCGAGTTACGACCACAATGGAGCCCAAAATCTCCATTGCTAACCGAGACAGTTGTTAAGTGAGCTTTGTCCCATTTTACGACCTTTCTTGCCACAGTCGCAAAACGAATTACTGCAGTTGTTAAGCTAGTCACACAGTTGTGAAGTGAATTTGGCTTCCCCACTGACTTTGCTTCTCAGAAGGTCGCTAAAGGGGATCACTTGACCCCGGGATGCTGCAACCGTCATAACTATGAGTCAGTTGCCAAGCGTCTGAATTTTGATCACGTGATGGTGTGGAACGTTGCAATGGTTGTCAGTTTGAAAAATGGTTAAAAAGTCAATTTTTTTCCAGTGCCATTGTAACTTCAGTCATTAAACGAACTGTTGTAAGTTGAGGACTATCTGGATAGCTCTATTTTTGTGGCAAGAATCTTGCAAAGGTGATTTTTTTTTTCTTTTTTCAAATTCTGGAAAACTAGGGAGGGTCGCTTCTGATAGACTTCCCACATCCCTTTTCCTTCGGTGGGTCTGGAGATTTTTTACAGGTAGATGTGTGAGAAACGGTCATAAGTCTCTTTTTTCACGGCTGTTGTAACTTTGAACGAGCATTAAACAGGCTGCTGTAAGTCAAGGACTACCAGTATCATTGTTTGTAATCTTTGAACACAGAGATGGAAATTACTTTTTTTCAGCAGATAACAGGAAAGAAACATATACAGGTACAGATTAACAGAGTTGGAAGGGACCTTATAGGTCATCTAGTCCAACCTCCCGCCCAAGGAGGAGACCTTACACCATTTCTGACAGATGGCAGTCCAGTCTCTTCTTGAAAGCCTCCAGTGATGAAGCTCCCACAACTTCCAAAGGCAAATTCTGTTCCATTTGGTTGATTGTTCTCACTGTCAGAAAATTTCTCCTTATTTCCAGGTTGAATCTCTCCTTATTCAGTTTCCATCCATTATTCCTTGTCTGGCCTACAGGCGCTTTAGAAAACAGCTTGACCCCTTCTTCTCTGGGGCAGCCCCTCAAATATTGGAAGACTGCTATCCTGTCTCCCCTGGTCCTTCTCTTCCCTAGACTAGCCAGGCCCAGTTCCTGCAACCGTTCATCGTATGTTTTACTCTCCAGTCCCCTAATCATCCTGGTTGCTCTTCTCTGTGCTTTTTCATAAATACTAAATGGCAGAGGCTGCCTTCGGGACAAGCAAAACGTTGTAAAAAAGCAGACTAAATCAATGAAAATTAAGGACTTAGCAAACTTTATTTTTGGAACCTTTGCTCAAATGATTAATATGTTTCTAAGAACTGCTCCATTCTTCCCCACCCCCACTCCAATTGTAATATTTAACACGAATACAGCTTCAGCAGGTGACACATTTAGCTGAGCTCAGAAAGCTAAGCTGGACCAGTTATTTAGATGGGAGACCACTCGGAGATCATAAGGCTGTAGTCTAGGCCAGCAATCCCCAATCTTTGTGGCTTGGTGTGGCCCGTCTTGGGGAGGGGAGGGAAACTGGGCCACATAAGCGTGAGTGGCGGGCCAGGGTACAGGGGTACGCAGCTCGACTTGCACAAAAGGTGGGCCAGTGTGTGCGAGTGCCCACCAGCCCACTGCTCACACAATTTGAGCTGTGTGCACATACACATGCTCCAGCCAGCCACTCGTGTGGCCCAATTCCGAATAGGCCGCGGCCTAGGGGTTGGGGACCTATGGCCTAGGCCAGTGATGGCAAACCTTTTCGGCACCGAGTGCCCAAACTGGAAGGCGCATGCATGTTCATGCTTGTGTGGGTCCAGGAACGCTGGAAACCTGAAGACCAGCTGGCCAGTGCGTGCATGCCTGTTTTTTGGCGCTGTTTTCAGGCCATTTTCAGGCTGTTTTTGGCCTGGAAATTGCCCAAAAAACAGCCTGCTTTTGGAGCCATTTTCAGGCCATTTTGGGGCCATTTTCATCCTGAAAAACAGCCTGAAAACAGCCTAAAATGGCCCCCCAAAGCAGCCTAAAGCGGCCCAGAAAATGGCTTGAAAACAGCCTGGAAAACGGCCTAAAACGTCCTGAAAAGCAGCCTGGAAATGTCCTGAAAAATGGCCTGTTCTTTGGCCATTTTTGGCCATTTTCAGGCTGTTTGGGGGGCATTTTCAGGGCATTTTTGGGGCATTTTTCAGCCCAAAAAAACAGCCTGAAAATGCCCTAAAATGGCCCAGAAAATGACCTGAAAACACCCTAAAACGGCCCGGAAGACGTCCCAAAAAACGTCCTGGGTTTTGGCCATTTCTTCGGCTGTTTTCCAGTGCTCTGGCGCCCGCAAAGACCAGTTGACCAGTGTGCATGTTCAGGCCATAAACCAGAGAAGCAGCTGGCGATGGTGTGCGTATTCAAGGAGAGGGCTCTGCATGCCACCTCTGGAACAGTTCATAGGTTCGCCATCACAGGCCTAGGTTGTTGTCACTTACTTAAATCAGCTCAATTTTAATAACATCATTTTGGTTTTAGTCTGTCCCCAATTTTTTAGCTTTGAGACACTTCCTTTTAGGAGTCAAGCCTCTTCATGCCTTTGTTTTACAGGTTGTCCTCTACTTAGAACCGTTCATTTAATGACTGTTCAAAGTTACAACAGCATTTTAAAAGCGAGCCTCGCTTATACTGTTTTTCACACTTAACGACCCACGGTCATGTGATCAAAATGCAGACCCTTGGCAACACACTCATATTTATGACAGTGGTAGGTCACACGATCCCCTTTTGCGACCTTCCAACAAGCAAAGTCAATGGGGAAGCCAGATTCGCTTAACAACCGTGTTCCTGACATAAATAACTGCAGGGATTCACTTAACAACAGCGCTATTAATTTAACAGCTGCAGAGATTCACTTAATAACAGAGTCAAGAAAGGTCGTAAAATGGGGCAAAACTCACTTGCTTAGCAACAGAAATTCTGGTCTCATAAATCGAGGACTACCTATATACTCAGGCAATTAATTCCTGCTATTCCTATTTTTTTGGGGGGGGGGGGGAAGAGAGCTGTTTCTTTTGTGAAAGGGAGGAGCTGACCATTTAACAGAATAACAGAGTTGGAAGTGACTTTGGAGGTCTTCTAGTCCAACCCTCTGTTCAAGCAGGAGACCCTATGCCATTCCAGGCAAATAGTTGTCCAATCTCTTCTTAAAAACCTCCAGTGATGGAGCATTTACAACTTCTGGAGGCGAAGCATCCCACTGATTAATTGTTCTCTCAGTCAGGAAATTCCTCCTTAGTTCTAAGTTGCTTCTGTCCTTGATTAGTTTCCATCCTTGTTGTTTCTTGTCCTGCCTTCAGGGGCTTTGGAAAATAGCTTGACTCCCTCTTCTTTGGGGCAGCCCCTCAGATATTGGAAGGCTGCTATCATGTCTCCCCTAGTCCTTCTTTTCATTAGACTAGACATACCCAGTTCCTGCAACCATTCTTCATATGTTTTAGCCTCCAGTCCCCTAATCCTCTTTGTTGCTCTTCTCTGAACTCTTTTCTAGAGTCTCAACATCTTTTTTTACATCGTGGCGACCAAAACTAAATGCAGGATTCCAAGTGTGGCCTTACCAAGGTCTTGTAAAATGGTATTAACACTTCACGTGATCTTGATTCTATGTTAATGCAGCCTAGGATCGCGTTAGTATTTTGGTCAGTGCTACTGTGGTCCTTTTGTCTGGAGGAAAAGCAATTCTGACACCATTTTTCTTCCACACTTTCGCTGAAAGCTGTGGCACACAAACACGTACGTATACACACACACACACACACACACATTTTCACACTGCAGGACAGTTTCTCACATCCTGGTGGAGATCGAGGCTCCCTTCTCCGAACAGTTTTGAGAGTAGAGAGACAACCTGGTTCCCGGATCTCAAGATGCTTCTTTATTAAATATTTCCATTAAGATCCAGTTTGTTCTATCCTGTTAATCACCTCTGACAACAATAATAATAATTTAAAAAACAAAACAAACCACAGCAACATGGAAATAGTTTAAAAGCATCGACTTTGCAAAAGCTGAATTTGTGGCCTTTGGAAGAATTCTGCTTGAAAGCAATACTGTTGACTTGCTTTCTCTACTTTACTGTAAATTGAGTACAGGGAGTCCTCGGGTTACGACCGCAATTCAGCCCAAAATTTCCATTCTGTGGGCATGGCATGGCTTGGTAGGCGTGGCATGGCTTGGTGGGTGTGGCTTGGTGGGTGTAGCAGGGAAGGATACTGTAAAATTTTCATTCCCTCCCCACTCCAGGAGGAAGATATACTGCAAAATCCCTACTCCCTCCCCC